AAAAAAAAAAAAGGAAGACTGTAGTAGATCTGCCAAAGGTTAGTCAAACTGAGTGACCTTCCAACTTTTCTGCTGGGATGCCATGATTTTTCTTTTGCTCGTGAGTTTATTACAGGTAGTCCTCAATTTATGACCACAACTGAGTCCAAAATTTCTGTTGCTAAGTGAAGTATTTGTTAAGGGAATTTTGCCCCATTTTACGACCTTTCTTGCCATGGTTATTAAGTGAATCACTGCAATTGATAAGTTAATAACCTGGTTGTTGAGTGAATCTGGCTTCCTCATGGACTTTGCTTGTCAGAAGGTCGCAAAAGCGGATCACGTGACCCCTGAGGACATTGCAACGGTCATAAATATGAGTCAGTTGCGATGCATCTGAATTTTGATCACATGACCAGGGGGATGCTGCAACCGTCATAAGTGTGAAAAACGGTCATAAGTCACTTTTTCAGTGCCACTGTAACTTTGAACGGTCTCTAAATGAACTGTTGCAAGTCGAGGACTGTATATTGTACACCATCTGAAGTTGTGGGCGAAGGGGAGGCAGAGGGGCCTGGAGCGGCTGAAAGAGTGGTGGGAGGCGACTGGAGGTCCCCTTTGGGGATGTCGGCCGGTGGCCTGAAAAGTGTTGGCAACGTCTGATGTGCGACATCCATCTGGCCACCCTGCCAAGTGTGGAAACTCTACTGAAATGGGAGGGTTGAGTTTTGAAGGGCTGGTGGAGGCGGTGATGAAACTTCCCTTTGATGTTCTCCTCCCAGCAATTCCGAATGGCTGGTCTCAGATGCCATCAGGGATAGAGGGAGGCAGGAAGTGGATTGCCAGGCCAAGCCAGGCCAGAAGGCCTGTTGATCTTGGACGGGTCCATGCCTCCTGTCCCTTGATCCCTTTGGCCAGCAGGGTTGGGCCCAGCTTGCAGACTCCAGCTGTCGACTGCCATGAAGGAGCCCCTCCCCTCCTCAGTCTCTGGCCTTCTGGCCCTCCAGCCATGGCCTTTGCCTTGCGTAGACTTTACCGGAGCCAATGTGTCTCCTCTGCTGTGGGGATCTGCGCTGGCTGCCAAGCTGCTTCCGGGTCCAATCCATGGTGCTGGTTGTCAGCTCTAAAGCCCCACATGACCTGGGACCAGGTTCTCGGAAGGACCGTCTCTCCCTGGTTGCATCCACCAAAGCGGGGAGGCAGGAATCTTGTGGGTGGCCTCTCCTAAGGAGGTCCATCTGGTAGCTCCCTCCCTTTGGAGCATCAGTGATCCCACAGAGATTAGACTGCTCCACCCCCCACTTTGACCCTCTTTTCCAGGGACCCAAAGACCTGCCACGGAACCCAGAATGGGATGGATGGATGGAGCCCACCAGGTGGCTTGTTTGGTTCTTGTCACTGTGGGGGTGGGGTGGGGTTACTGTTCTTATTGGTGTGTATTGGGTTTTTGTTTTTTGTAAGGCTCCCACAGTCACTGAGAGTGAGTGGGTGGCCATATAATTTTTCTAAATAAATAATAAAATAAAATAAAAATAAAATAATGAAAATAAAATAATAATAAAACAAAACGAAATGAAATAAAACGGAATGGAATGGAATAAAATAAAACAATTCACACCCTTTCTCTGCACTCAGCCCAAACGGCAACCCAGATGGCGGAAGCCATGAGAATCTGGCACTCTGGACAGTAGCAGATGAATCAGGAGCCGTTGAGTGAGGGGCTGACCAGCCGCCAGCTCTTTCCCCCATCCATGATCCACCTCTTGCCAATTAATTAGCCTCCAGTCAGCCGGACCCAGCTGAGCTCCAGCTCCTCATCCTAGTGGCCTGGAGGGCTGCCGAGTGCTGGGGCCGCCTGGAGATCAATACCACTGGGGTGCCTCCAAGGCAGGGAAGAGAGAGACCCCCCAGCTGCTCAGCAGAGGCCCTGAAGCTTCGTCCCCAGCACATCTGGAGGGAAATCCCATGACCTGGAAGGCGACAGGGCCATCCTTGGGGGAGGGGGGTCTTTGGCCTGACTTTACTCAGAGAGTCACCTTACCGGGTGGTCCACGTCTTTAGCAGCTGAGGAGTTACAACCAATAGGACTGATTTAACCCTCCCTGAACAACACAAGAGGTCTGGATAAGGGCCTGAGAGCCACCACACCCTGGGCTTGTTCTGACTTGGGTTTTATTGGTCTTTTCCGTGTCTGTCCAAGGCCCTTCTAAGGCAGCTGGGCTTCAACCCTCAGAATTCCCCACTGGCTGAGCCCACAGATCTTACCATGACCAAGGTTTCAGAGCCCTGTTTCCAGGTATGCCCACAATTGAGCCCAAATTGTATGTTGCTAAGTGAGAAATTTGTTAAGTGAGTTTTGTCCCATTTTACAACTTTTCTTGCCGCAGTTGTTCAGCTTCCCCATTGACTTGGCTGGTCAGAAGATAACAAAAAGTGACCACATGACCCTGGGATACGACAACCGTCATAAATATGAGTCGGTTGCCAAACATTTCAATTTTGATCACTTGACCATGGAATTGCTGCAATGGTCATAAGTGTGGAAAATGCTCATAAGTCACTTTTTTCAGGGCTGTTGTAAATTTGAACAGTCACTAAATAAACTGTTGTAAGTTGAGGACTATCTGTACTTCATATTCAGATCCTTCCTTCCTTCCTTCCTTCCTTCCTTCCTTCCTTCCTTCCTTCCCCCAATATTGAGGCTGAGTTCCCATTGCTGGAAAGGCCAGTTAATTGATCTCGGCTGGCATGAACCCCACTCATCCTGCCTCTCTCTCGGCCTCCATGGGGGCGTCCTCTTTGCCCATCCCCAGAGTGAGCGTGCTCTGGGCCACGGACCCTCTGCCTTCAGCAAGTGTGAGAGCAAAGGCCACGACTGCTGGTTGCCTTCTGATCTTGGCTGGTGCCCAACCTCTTGGGCGAGGCCCTCGCCAACCAGCAAGCTGGCAGATTTGTCAATTTTGAGGTGATTCATTTGGACAAGCTCTCTCTACGGAGTTGACCGGTTAAGCTGTCAATACTTGGAAAGGAAATATTGCAAAGCAAATTAAATACCCAGACAACACGATGTTTATTAAGCACTAAGAAATGGAATTAATAGAAAATTAATAAAATTTATAAAAAAATACTTGGAAAGGAAGCAAGGCAGAGGCGGACAGCAGGGTGCCTCTGGGGGGATGGTGCATGGGCTGGCGGGTTGATGCCTCTGGAAGCGAAGTTGGCTGAACGTGGAATGCCAGGCAGCCGGGCTTCAGTTTAAGCAGGGGCTGAGTAGAGCCCCGAAGGAGGACTGGTTGAGTGGAATGAGAAGAGGGAGGCAGCTCAGGACTGCTTTGGCTTTTTTGTCAGCACAGGGGCTCCCACATAAGGGGTGGAACCCCAAGAACCAAGCGAAGAAGAAGCGAGCTAAATGAAGGAGCACTAACTCACCTTGTAGGCCACTTTCAAAGGGAGCTTTTCCACCAAAGCACGAGAGAGGGCCAGGCTGACTCGGATCCTGTCACCACCTGCAATTCTTCCTGCAGATGGACCACAGAAACAGAAGGGAGGGGGAGGGATTCTTTGGGGAAGTTGCGGGGAGGGGAGGGGCTCAGGGAGCCAGCTGAGCCTGAGAAAGTTCTTACAATTCAAGGTCATGTTATTAGAACTTTTCCAACATCACAGACAATTTCCCAAAACACAAAGGATGCCTTGGATTGGTGGACAATGGACGGGGGTAGGGGTGGGGGGCTAATGGGGAAAAGGGGAATTTACCTAAGCTGCTTCCCGAGGGAACCTTTAGAATTGGCTTTCTTTCTTCCGTGTCTATATGGATCTATCAGTGAAGCTATATTTCTTGTTTTCAGTTTTGCTTTTAAAGAGTCCAAAATTGGGACTGCCACCACAAAGCAACACGGCCCTCTGAGCGGGGTGAGGCTTACGGCTTAGCGTTCTGTAAGCCACCTTCTGGTTGGTTGGTTTATTGATTTAGGCACAACGTGTTATGGGAATCGTGCTTCATTCAGTGGGGCTTAATCTTTTGTGTGTTGTGCAATCTCTTCCAACTGTGAGACAAGAGGAGGACAATTCCCATCTAAAGCGGTCAGCGAAGCAACAAAACCCTGGAGGGGAGCAACCAGAAATGGATTCTGTTGAAATGAAGGATCTGGGATTTGTGAGCGTTTGCTGAGATGGCAAGGAGGAAGATCAGATCCACTACGGGCACTGAGCTTGTGAGGGATCTCACGAAGAACAATGGTTCGTTGAGGGCGCTTCCCAGAAAAGGTCAGCATGCAAGGAGGCAATCAAATTAAGTCTTTATTTAGAAGTAAAAGTAGAGTAAAATAAGTTCCATGGGTCAGTCCCATAGGAGAGTAGAATAAGAGCAGGGAAAGCAGCCCCTGTGCGGGGGTTCTTATAGGGGCCCCTGGCCCCTCCCTTACCAATGTGTGAGGGGGCCAGAGGACCATTAACTCTCCCAATGGGGCTGCAGGGGCCGGAGCCCCTTGACCCACCAGTGGGATCAAAAGTCCCTCTTTGCTCCCATCTGGTGGCCTTTTTAGAAACTGCCATGGCTGGCACAAAACACCCAACAGAGCACCAAGACAGAAACAGAATCATAGAGTTGGAAGGGAGCTTGGAGGTCATCTAGTCCAACCCCCCATCCAAGCAGGAGACCCTACACCATTTCTGACAGATGGCAGTCCAGTCTCTTCTTGAAAGCCTCCAGTGATGAAGCTCCCACAACTTCCGAAGGCAAGTTATTGTTATTGTTCTTAAATTACGGGGCCAAATTTATATATATTCTTTTAATACTATTTTAATATTTGTAATTTATGTTTTTATTCGGCTGTATACCCAGTATTCAGGGAGAAGGGTGGTATATAAATTGGATATAAAATAAAAAAAATAAAATAAATAAACTTCTGTTCCATGGGTTGATTGTTCTCACTGTCAGGAAATTTCTCCTTATTTCTAGGTTGAATCTCTCCTTGATCAGCTTCCATCCATTATTCCTTCTCTGGCCTTCAGGTGTCTTGGAGAATAGCTCGCCCCCTCCTCTCTGGGGCAGCCCCTCAAGTATTGGAAGATGCTCTCCTGTCTCCCCTGGTCCTTCTCTTCCCTAGACTAGCCGTGCCAAAAGCCATTTTTTAACTGGGCTTTCAGGGGGCTGGACTAGAAGACCTCCAAGGTTGTCAGGTGAAATGTCTAACTTGTCTGTGTCCCCATTCCCCACTACCCTGCAAGGGTTAACCCAACCACACAACCTATCATCCTCATAGCCCCACCTTACCTTAAGGCCCCTCCCTCTGAGTATAAAAAGACCGATCCCACGTGGACACCCAGCAGTTCCAGACACACATCTGCAAGGAAAGGAGAAAGGTCAGTTAAGGATGTGTTCATAGATGTACCTTTGAATAAAAGACTTTGCCAAGGCAGCCACATTGTACAGAGCGTTATTGGGCTAGATCCATCTAACCTAACAAAGGTCCCTTTCAGATTTAGGATTCTATGGTTCTAACTGCCTCCCACAATAAGGGGTCCCTTCTCTCTCTCCCCTCTTGGGCACCTGACCTGTGGCACAAAGGAGCTGCAATAATATCCCTCCGGGGATCACAGTCCTCCTCTCCCTTAAAGGGAGGCAAAGACAAAAATCACAAGCCGTTTTGTGATTAGGAATTAGAATCCCACCAGGGAATACCTAAGAAGGGTCTCCCGCCTGATGGAGACCCTGCCCTGCAGAATCCTGCCTGTTTAAGCTAGCTCTCCCCAAGGAAGGCTCACCACGGGAGGGGAAATCCCATGGTCTCTGCCGCTGCCACGTCTCCAGAGAATGCTCTGTCGTGGGCATAATCCTCTGTCTTGTAACATGGATGCAAAAGCCGGATAGTCAGGAAGGTTTCAGAAAGAGAAATGGATGCCTTAGAATTGTGGTGCTGGAGGAGGCGGTTGAGATGGCTTTGAACTCCAAGAAGAATCAGTCGTTCCATAATAGATGAATTAAATCTAGACGGCCTCCTGGAAGCGCCATTCATGAAGCTCAGACTTGGCTGCTGTGGACACACAACACAAATGGAGGAGTTGTTAGAGATGAGAAGATCCCAATGCTCAGAAGAAAGGACAAACAGACCAGCAGAAGACAGAATAACAGAGTTGGAAGGGACTTCGGAGGTCTTCTAGTCCAGCCCCCTGCTCAAGCAGGAAACCGTATCCCATTTCAGACAAATGGCTGTCCAATCTCTTCTTAAAAACCTCCAGTGATGGAGTGCCCACGATTTCTGGTGGCAAGCTGTTCCACTGGTTAATTGTCCTCACTGTTAGGAAATTTCTCCTTAGTTCTAGGTTGTTTCTCTCCTTGATGAGTTTCCATCTGTTGCTTCTGTTCTGCCTTCAGGTGCCCCTCTTCTTTGGGGCAGCCCCTCAAATATTGGAAGATGCTATCGTGTCACCCCTGGTCCTTCTAGACAAGGCAGAGAGATATCTGATGTCTGATGCCAAAAGTAGGAGATCAAATAAGCAAGTATTGACAGACATCGTGGCAAAATGGTAAACAGTTAGAAGGAACCCACCACCCAAAAACCCACATCCAATATATTTGGAGAGCAGGCTGGGACGAACTGATATAACCCTTAGGATTTAAGGAGGCCAGGCTGGTGGGTCTTCCCTGCCCCTATTTTTACTTATTACGCAAACTTATATCCTGCCTGTTTCATGGGAATCTTTATGGCTCACCAATAAAGAATACAGAGAGTCCCTGACTTACGACCGCAATTCAGCCCAAAATTGATGTTGCTAAGTGAGACAGTTGTGAATTTTGCCCCATTTACATACAACCTTTTTTTTTTTGCCATGGTTGTTAAGTGAATCTGGCTTTCCCCATTGTCTTTGCTTGTCAGAAGGTTGCAAAAGGGGATCCCGTGACCCCAGGACGCTTCAAACCGCCACGAGTCCGTTGCCAAGCATCTGAATGCTGACCACGTGACCACGGGGATGCTGTAACGGTCATAAGTGTGAAAAATGATCATAAATCACTTTTTTCACTGATGTGGTAACTTTGAGCAGTCCCTGATTGAGCTGTCGTAAGTCAAGGACTGCCTGTATTTGCCTCTGGAAAGCAGGTCATGTCAGAAACAGACGAATCCTGAATGGGAGGCCAGGAGGAGGGCTGGTCCCCTCACCCCAAAACAGCCCTTCCGCTTTCCTCCGTGGAAGCCCCTGTGTTCCCGTGGAGGGGCTGACTCTGGGGAGGGGAGGCCAAGGCCAGAAGCCCTGAAGAGCTTGGTGGGTGAAAAGCAGCAGCACTTTGGCTCCACTCGGAAGCCGATTCAGGCTCTTCCGTGGCTGCCCTGCCTGCCCAACCACCAAAAGAGACAATGCAATCCTAAACGGCATTCACAGAGGGACTGAATTAAGATCAAGGCAGGTACTACTACCACTATGTAAAGCCCTAGTAAGGCCACACCTAGAATCCTGCATCCAGTTTTGGTCACCACAATGTAAAAAAGATGTTGAGACTCTAGAAAGAGTGCAGAGAAGAGCAACCAGGATGATGAGGGGACTGGAGGCTGAAACATATGATGAACGGTTGCAGGAACTGGGCCTGGCTAGTCTAGTGAAGAGAAGCACCAGGGGAGGCAGGAGAGCGTCTTCCAATATCTGAGGGGCTGCCTGCCATAGAGAGGAGGAGGGGGGTCAAGCTGTTTTTCAAGGCACCTGAAGGCCAGACAAGGAACAATGGATGGAAACTGACCAAGGAGAGGTTCAACCTGGAAATAAGGAGGAATTTTCTGACAGTGAGAGCAATCAACCCATGGAACAGAAGTTGCCTTCGGAAGTTGTGGGGGCTTCATCTCTGGAGGCTTTCAAGAAGAGACTGGACTGCCATTTGTCAAAAACGGTGTAGGGTCTTCTGCTTCAGCAGGGGGTTGGACTAGATGACCTACAAGGTCCCTTCCAACTCTGTTCATCTGTTAAACTGAGCTCCCTCCTGCCTCTCACCGCCTCCCCCTCCGATGGCTGCCTTCCTCTTGCAGCAAAGAGCAAGCGGCGTTTCCTCTCCTTGAAGGATTGCCGGAATAATTGTGTTGCTGATTGAGGAATTCCTGTAATGAGCTGAAAGTGCCATTTCTAATTGCATCCGTGATTCGTCAGCCGACTCGGGGGAAGGCACCGGATGGCATTGGCAGCCAAGGTCTTTGGAGACCCCTGAGGCTGCTTCCCACCTGCCTTTCCCTGTGGCAGACTCCATCTCGGAGGATTCTCCTCGGTCTCAAAGAACCACAGGACGAAGGGGAAGCTTTGCCGGGGGGCTTTCCACAGCGGGAAGGAAGGGGAAATGGGTGTGGCTCCATCGCTCAGGACCAGGCTGGATTCCACCTCGGACTCTACCTGACAAAGTGGAAGCGTCTGAATAGCATTAGCAACAGCCCCTAGACTTATAGACCACTTCACAATGCTTTCCAGCCCTCTCTAAGCGGTTTACAGAGTCAACCACTTGCCCCCAACAATCTGGGTCCTCATTTTACCAATCTCAGAAGGATGGAAGGCTGAGTCAACCTTGAGCCTGGTGGGATTTGAACTGCCGAACTGCAGTCAGCCGGCAGTCAGCTGAAGTAGCCTGCAGTACTGCACTCTAACCACTGGTCACCACAGCTTAATGGCCTGTCATCCATTATTCAGAGATCATTCAACATCTCTGTTGAATGCAAAGGATAAAGTTCAGTTTGATCCAGCAGGTTGGGGCCTGGTGCAGCTCCCATCAGCTGTAGAGTGTCGGCTGGCGGGGCCTTTTCTGCAGTGGCCCCTGCTCTGTGGAATATCCTCCCCTCCGAGATCAGAATGGCCCCCACCTGCTGGCCTTTCGCAAGGCTGTGTATTATATCTTGGTTGCCGTGGATACAGGCAGTCCTTGACTTAAGACCACAGCTGAGTCCAAAATTTCCAATGTTAAGCGAGACAGTTTTGCCCCATTTTATGACCTTTCTTGCCACAGTTGTGAAGTGAAGCACTGCAGTTCTTCAGTTAGCAACACGGTTGTTAAATGAATCCAGCTTCCCCAGTGACTTAGCTGGTCAGAAAGTTGAAAAAAGGGATCATGTAACCCTGGGGCACTACAACCGTCATAAATATGAGTCAGTTGCCAAGTATCTGAATTTTCATCAGGTGACCATGGGGGTGCTGCAATGGTCGTAAGTGTGAAAAATGGTCACAAGTCACTTTTTTCAGGACTATTGTAGCTTCAAATGGTCACTAAAAGAACGGTTGTAAATCAAGGACAGCCTGTAATAATTTTGGGTGTTTTATTGTTTTATAGAATGCTTTTCAGAAGCAACCTGGAACTAAGGAGAAACTTGCTAACAATGAGGACAATTAACCAGTGGAACAGCTTGCCACCAGAAGTTGTGGGCGCTCCATCACTGAAGGCTTTTAAGAAGAGACTGGACAGACATTTGTCTGGAATGGTATAGAGTCGAGTCTCCTGCTTGAGCAGGGGGGTGGACTAGAAGACCTCCAAGGTCCCTTCCCACTCTGTTATTCTGTTAATTAATCAGTCGGCTGGCTTGGCTTCAGAAGTTGTGGGTGCTCCATCACTGGAGGTCTTCAAGAAAAGATTGGACAGCCACTTGTCTGAAGTGGTGCAGGGTCTCCAGCTTGAGCAGATGGTTGGACTAGAAGATTTCCCTTCCAGCTCTATTCTGATTGATTGATTGATTGATTGTATCATTTTGGAATGATAAGCCACCCTGAGTCATTAATTGAGACGGGCCGGGTATAGAAATAGAATAAATAAAATAAATAAAAGTGGAGGAGGACAGGACGGTTGAGGGCTTGTCTTCTCCTCTGGATGAGGCGCAGCAGAGCTCCAGATGACCTACTCCTAGACGGGGAGGCTCCCCAGAGGCAGGGGCTGGCCAATGCAGGAAGCAAAGTGAGCTTGGCCTTGGCCCGGCAGGCTCATCCTTCTTCCTCCGGTCTCTGCTCAGTGTCAGCATCCGAGCGCCAGAGACAGATGGCTGCCGAGGGGAGATGGATGGTGCTTCCCGAGGGAGCCGGCCCAACTGTCAACCTCCTCTCGGAGTTAGCAGAAACATGTGTTCCCCTCCTCACTTGGAAAGTGCTTGGATTGCCACCATTCAGCTTAAACAAAAGTCTCCCCAGGTGGCTTATAGCAGAACTATAAAAATGCAAAATGCCAGAGAAATAAAATAAGCAGACTAAGCAGAAGACTCTCTCGGGACAGGGGGGACTTTCTCTGTCGGCCTGAAATCAGGATGGATGCTCTTCTGTGCTTCCTAGGCTTTCTTTGGGCACACTCAGATATGAATAACAGAACAGGACAGAATATCAGAGTTGGAAGGGACCTTGGAGGTCTTCTAGTCCAACCCCCTACTCAATGGCTAGACAAATGGCTGTCTAATCTCTTCTTAAAAACCTCCAGTGATGGAGCACCCACAACTTCTGGTGGCAAGCTGTTCCACAGGTTAATTGTTCTCACTGTCAGGAAATTTCTCTTTAGTTCTTGGTTGCTTCTCTCCTTGATGAGTTTCCATCCGTTGCTTCTTCTCCTGCCTTCAGGTGCTTTGGACCCCCTCTTCTTTGTGGCAGCCCCTCAAATACTGGAACACTGTTAACATGTTCACCTTAGTTCTTCTCTTTGTTAGACTAGGCATACCCAATTCTTTATATATTTCAGCCTCCAGTCCCCTCATCATCTTTGTTGCTCTTCTCTGCACTCTTTCTAGAGTCTCCACATCTTTTTTTCTATTGTGTCGACCAAAACTGAATGCAGGATTCCAAGTGTGGCCTTACCAAGGCCTTATAAAGTGGTATTAACACTTCACGTGATCTTGATTTTGTCCTATCTTAATCTGGGAGAAGACCTCCAAGGTCCTTTCCAACTCGGTAATTTTATTAGCTCCTCCAAGCAAAGCTTGTTTCTTCTGGCCATGCACAGAGTGAGGCGGGAGCTTCCAAAGAACGTCTGACCCATATCTGGCACCACAACCATCGCGAGACAATTGTCCGCCTGGCCCTGCACTTCCGGATGGGTCAGGCAGAAATAATCCCTGCAATTCCCAGATCTCCTTTTGCAATTCACATCCTGCAAAGGCTGCAGACGTCAGAACCTCTTCGGCTTGAAAATGGCTCTTTCCTGCCTTTTATGCCAAATTCTAACACATCTAACAGAAAAAAATTCATAGATGTTTTCAACGCGAGCATCCCTTTCTTTATATTTCCTTGTTCGCCCATTTCCTTCACATTAGTACGGAATTTCATTAAATCACTTCTTGCTGGTTATGACTCACGCTGACTTCCGCAGCCTTTATGACTGAAGGGTTATTTGCTGGCGGCTGAGCACACGCATTAATCCCCCTGATTTCCTATCCGGCTCGCAAGCCCTGTTCATCACTAGCGCAATCCAATTAAAAAGACCCACCCTGCGGATGACATGAATAGATCACAGAAATCTCATTTCGTTTGGCAGCGCTCTCTGGACCTTGAAGGAACATTTCAGATACAGCTGCAATTGCAGAAGCTTGGCTCAAGATCTTAACAGTCTCCCTTTCCCCATCCAGGAAGGCTGTGGTGGAATGTGGTCAGGATTCCCAGAAGGAGGGGCTGCATTTCAGAGGAGCAATTAATTTATCAAGGAGAGAAGCAACCTAGAACTAAGGAGAAATTTCCTGACATTTGAGAACAATTAACCAGTGGAACTGCCTGCCTCCAGAAGTCGTGGGTGCTCCAACACTGGAAGTTTTTAAGGAGAGATTGGACCGTCACTTGTCTAGAATGGTATAGGGTCTCATGCTTGAGCAGGGGATGGACTAGAAGACCTCCAAGGTCTCTTTGAGCTCTGTTACTCTGTTAGAAGGAGATAACTCAATTCAGACAGTTTGTGTGAGAGAAAGAGGGTGAAGATGGCTGCTCCCTAACGGTTCCCAGAGTATTTGCCTTATGAGGATGTTCGCATGCTTCAGTTTGGCAAGATCCTGCTTATAGGCGAAGATCTATAAAGGAATCCGATTGGAAGAATCACAATATACCTTTCTTGGTTTTTGGAATCTGACACCAATTTTGCCAAGCTAAAGCAAAGTTTTTGCATCATTAAAGGTGTATTCTGGGAACAGTCAAGGAGGAGCCATCTTCACCCACTTTCTCCCATACAAATTTCTCCATCCCTGTCAGGCTCCCAAAACCAAGAAAGGATGTTGAGATTCTTTTAAGCCGATTCCTTTCTTGTTCCTCACCTATAGAGAAAATCTTGCCAGACTAAAACCATTTACCTGCATCATTAAAGATATACTCTGTGAACTATTAAGGAGGAGCTGTCTTCATCCTCTTTCTCTCACACAAATTCTCTGAACTGAGTTGCCTCTTTCCCCTCTGAAATGCAGCCCCTCCCTCCTGGGAATCCGGACTTTATTCCTTCCAAGAGCCAGCTGAGAGCATGATGTAGGAGATGGTCAGGCTGAACCCGAGGGAGGGAGGGAGGGAGGGAGGGAGGGGTCAAGCATGTCATCAGTCTCGAGTCCCCACAAGAGATCTAAGTCCAGCCCTCCTTGAGTTCCATTGACTCTTATCTACCACCAATTTGTCTTGAGTTCAGGTTCTTGTAGAGAGCTAGCATGAAATAAACCTGAACTCATTGGAACAGCCTTGGTTCCCAATTTCTTGCATGTGACATTATACTCCCAAGAGATCACTGGTCCAGCTCTCCCTTGAACCCACCACCTCTCTAGGGAAGAAGGTCTACTCTCACACGGCGTTTGCCTTTAGGAAATATGGACAGAATACAGAACACAGAATAGCACAGTTGGAAGAGACCTAGGAGGTCTTCCAGTCCCACCCCATGCTCAAGCAAGGGATTGCCCAACATCCAGATGGCATCTACCATCCCTTAACTGAAGGCCACTGATCTGGAACAAACATACCTTGAATTTGCTTGGATGGTGCGCCATCCTTTCAGGAGATCTGAGGTGCTTCTTTCATGTGGTACCCAAGACGACACCAGAAGTCTAGCTGGCATGCGCTCTCCACTCCTATCAGGCTGCATCTTACAAACAAGATTATTCACAAAGTCAGCTGGAATGTGAGAAGACAGCCAGGAAGATCTGCATTGTTGCTTCCGTTTAGCTCAAAGCAGAGATTGGAAAACCACCCTCTGGCCTTAGGAACTGGTTCCTTGCCAGAATTCCAGAGAAGCATAAATCTGAATTGGGTCCCTCTAATCTAGTGAAAAGAAGGACTAGGGATGACATGAGAGCAGTCTTCCAACATTTGAGGGTTGCCACAAAGAAGGGGGGGGTGTCAACTTATTTTTCAAAACATCAAAAGGCAAAACAAGGAAAAAACAGACAGAAACCAATCAAGGAGAGAAGCAACCTAGAACTAAGGAGGAATTTCCTGACAGTGAGAACAATCAGTCAGTGGAAGTTTGCCTCCAGAAGTTGTAAATGCTCCAACACTGGAAGCTTTTAAGAAGAGGCTGGAAAGAATAACATAAGGTTTTCTGCTTAAGCAGGGGCTGGACTAGAAGACCTCCAAAGCCCCTTCCAGCCCTGCTATTCTGAAGGTATCCAGGAGTCTGCTTCAGTAGCTTGCAGGGCAGGGAGCAGTCCAATAGGTCAGTGGGTGGGAAATTGTGGGGCAACATCACCATGCAAATGCCACCCCTTTCGAAGGCTTCTGCATTCCAAAAGGATGGGTCTTGTAGTACCAGCAGGGCAATGCTACTTTCCTCATTTTGAGCAGGCACCTATGTTATTCTGCATACCCCTCTGGGTTAAATTTAGAGGGATGCCGAGGACACCTCCACGCTTGGCAACTGACTCATATTTATGACGGTCGCAGCGTCCCTGGGTCACATGATCCCCTTTTGCGACCTTCTGACAAGCAAAACCAACAGGGAAGGCAGGTTCACTTAACAACCGTGTGATTCCCTTAACAACTGTGGCAAGAAAGGCTGTGAAACGGGGCAAACTTCGCTGAATGCCTGTCTTGCTTAGCCACAGGAATTCTGGATTCAATTGCAGTTGTAAGTCGAGGTCTGCCTTTATTTATTTATTTATTTATTTATTTATTTATTTAATTTTTTATACCGCCACTCTCCCGAAGGACTCAGGGCAGTGAACAATCAAAATAAACATATATATAAAAATGTGAATAGAAGCAATAAATAATAATTAAGTCAATTTGGCTTATCAGTTAAGTTAAGATCTTCAGAATAAAATTTACACAATTAGGAAAAGGAAAGAAAAAAATTAATTATGCCAGCCCGGCTTGGTGAAAGAGGAAGGTCTTAAGTGCCCGACGGAAAGTACGAAGATCTGGGATTATTCTTATCCCTGGGGGTATCCTGTTCCAAAGGGTAGGTGCCCCCACAGAGAAGGGTCTCCCCCTGGGAACCACCAGTCGACATTGCTTTAGTGATGGTACCCTGAGGAGGCCCACTCTGTGGGAGCGTACTGGTTGGTGGGAGGTTATCAGTTGCAGAAGGTGGTCTCGTAGGTACCCAGGTCCTAAACCATGGAGCACTTTAAAGGTAAGAACCAACACCTTGAAGCGCACTCGGAAGGCCACCGGGAGCCAGTGCAGCTCGCGTAGGAGAGGTGTTACATGTGAGCGCCATGTCACTCCTAATATCACCCGCGCGGCCGCATTCTGGACCAGTTGGAGCCTCCGCGTGCACCTCAAGGGGAGCCCCATGTAGAGAGCATTACAGTAGTCCAGTCGAGAAGTGACGAGGGCATGAGTGACCGTGCGTAAGGAGTCCCGATCCAGAAAGGGTCGGAACTGGCGAATCAGGCGAACCTGATAGAAAGCTCTCCTGGCCACGGCCGTCATATGTTCTTCTAAAGACAGCCGCGTGTCCAATTATGCTCAAAAACTCAAAATCAGAGCAGCAGCTGTGCAAACAAGCCTTGTGTATGTGTTGCACATGTAAGAGGCATTGAAAAAAGGAGTGGGGATCACACTAGGGTGACACACTAGCCCAGTGATGGCAAACCTTTTTGGCACCGAGTGCCCAAACCAGAATGTGCACACGTGCATGCCAGCCATCTGGTCTTCGGGTTTCCGGCACACACGTACACGCTGGCCAGCTGCTCTTTGTGCTCCCCGGAAACTGGAAGACCAGGTGGGCGGTGCGCATGCGTGCACTGCCCACCTGGTTTTCAGGTATCCGGGGCACACGTGCACACTGGCCAGCTGGTCTCCATGAGCGCTGGAGCCCTGGAAACTCGGTGCCAAAAAGGGTTGCCATCTCTGGGCTAGTGTGTCACCCTAACCAGAAGAGCAGCTGGTAATGGCACACGTGCCCACAGAGAGGGCTCTGGGTGACACCTGTGGCACATGTGCCATAGGTTCGCCATCACAGCACTAGCCCCTCTTGACCAGGGCTCCCCAACCTTGGCGACTCTAAGCCAGCTGGAGAATTCTGGGAGTTGAAGTCCACAAGTCTTAGAGTCCCCAAGGTTGGGGAGCCCTGATCTTGACTGCTTTGAGCATACCTTGGGGAAACCCCTGAACTGGACTTTGGATGTACGAGAAGGCATTTTGGCGCAGATGTACCCAATTTAAACAATACAATTTTCACTCTTACCGGGAAGCATTGCATGAGACACGGGTGAGATTAAAGCTGTAACTTAGATGGAGAATTTATTAAAAATAAGAACATCTTGACTCATCAAACCCATGGAAAGTAGTGGAGGCAAATACCTGTGGGCCCATTGGCGGATGGCCTATGGAGAATTGCAACTCGGAAGGGAAAATGAGTAAGCCACACAAAGAGTATGAATTATGAAACGAGATGAAATAATTAAGTCTTTGTGCACCTCAGAGAAAGGCCTGGGCAAAGGGGCTCTAATTCATGACACCGTGGAAGATGTGAAGGTGAAGCTTTTAATTCTCAATGAAAGGATTAAAACATGTGCCAGAAAAATCAGCATTTAGTCATCCAGGTTGTTGTGGGTGTCTATGAAAAGTAGGACTCCAAAGGTTGCATGTTACCCTCCAGGGGACGGGAGTAGCAGAAGATTCAGAATTAACTCAGAAAAAAATGTTCTGAATCTCATTCATCCCGGAGAAAAATCACTCTGAACGGTAGGGCAGGAATAAGGCAAAAGAGTCGATAAAAGGTGATTAGGAGAATTAATGAAAACAGTAACCTTTTGAGGAGAATCTGCTTAGAAAAAGGTCTCTTTGTGGGGACAGAACAGAAGAGAACAGAATAACAGAGTTGGAAGGGACCTTGGAGGTCTTCTAGTCCACCCCCCCGTTCATGCAGGAGACCCTGGCCTAGACCATTCCAGACAAACGGCTGTCCAATCTCTTCTGGAGGCAAGTCACTCCACTGGTTAATTGTCAGGAAAGTTCTCCTTATTTCTAGATTGGTTCTCTCCTTGATTGATTTCCATCCATTGTTTCTTGTCTTGCTAATAGGTGCTTTGGAGAATAGGTTCATCCTTCCTCTTCTTTGTGGCAGCCCCTCAAATATTGGGACACTGCCATCAAATCATCCCTGGTCATTTTTTTCATTAGATAAGTGACTGTCCAGTGTTTTCTTAAAAACCTTCAGTGATGAAGCACCTAAAACTTCTGAAAGCAAGTCCTTCCACTGGTTAATTGTCCTCACTGTTAGGAAGTTTCTCCTTAGTTCCAGGTTGCTTCTCTCCTTGGTTAATTTCTATCCATTGTTTCTTCTCTTGCCTTCAGCGGCTTTGGAAAATAGGTTGAAACTGCCCCCACTTCTTTGTAGCAGCCTCTCAAATACTCAAATACTGCTATCATTTTCCCCCTACTGACAAGTTCTTTAATTTGAACTAAGTTGCAGATATTTGCCAATTTCCTAGTGGGAGGTGCAATTATGGGTGGAAAAACTTAACCCAGGGATGTCCAACCTTAGGAACTGTAAGCCTTGTGGGCCTCAACTCCCAGAATTCCCCAGCCAGCCATGATAGGGCGGAAGTGTGTCTGGTTGTCCAAAGGAGGGCGGAATGCATCAGAATATCAGAACAACGGAGTCGGAAGGGACCTTTGAGGTCTTCTAGTCCAACCCCCTGCTTGAGCAGGAGACCCAACCCCATTCCAGACCATTGCACCCTGTTCCTATTTCACCTTTCCTCACCCCTGATGAGAAGAAAAGCAGCTTCGTCTGGGAAAGGAAGGTCTTGCTTGGCTAAAATGGCATGGGTGGGCTGCACAGCACTAGTTTAGCTCACTCTAACTATGGATTCTGTTATGTAAATAGGTTTGTTTGGCGGGAAGTTCGAATTAACTGACCCTCAGCTGATTGGCTGACCACCACAGCTGCAAGGTATATAAAGGGAGCTGGCTCCCCTGGTCAGTTGCTGGAGTCTCACCATATAATAAAGAGCTGTTGTCACGAACTACTCTGGCTTGCTGCATCCTCATTCACCCAACTTAACATTGGCGACGAAGGTGGGATTTTGAGGCCAGAAGCAGAGGAGAGCTGAAGCCACACTCGAGAAAAGAGCTGAAGCCACGTTCAGAGAGGGGACCGGAGACCGCAACGAATCCAGCCAGGCGAGCGAGCGGAGCACAGGAGAATCCCCGAAACGATGTCTGCCTACACCCCGCCAGCGCCTTTCGACCCCAAGGAAGAGAAGTGGGGATCCTACATGTCTCGGTTCGAGTGCTTCATGGTGGCAAACGACATGCAAGGGCTACCGGACGTTCGGAAGAAAGCCCTGTTCCTGAATCACTGCGGGCCAAGGATCTTCGACACAGCCGAAGCATTGTCGGAGCCGAATTCGGTCCACAACATTTCCTGGTCGACGCTACAGACCCTGCTGAAAGACCACTATGCACCAACACCATCGAAGTACGTCCAACGCTATGATTTCCGGCAACGGCTACAGCAGGAGGGCGAATCGATCAGCGAGTACGTCGCCGCCCTGCGTAAGGCCGCAACCCAATGTGAGTACTGAGACCTGGATGAAATGCTCCTAGAGCAACTAATTTGTGGAGTGAGAGATAGCCGGCTCCAGAGAAGGCTGCTTGCGAGGTCAAACCTGACCCTACTCATCGCGCTAGACGAGGCCAGGGCACAAGAG